GTTGTAGGTGGATGGGATGGGTTTGGGTGGTGCTTCTGGTTGCCTTTTACAGGGGATAGTGCTTTACGATTAGGCCTATCTCAGAGCCTCCCCTCCTTCAGTAACTGCTTTATCTCTCAGTAGACAGCCAGGTCTAGCAGAAGCAAGTGTCCTCCCTGGTTGCTTCTCCTCAGCTTCTCTGCAACATTGTTGGCACCATTAATCCCTGCTTTGGGATACTGCTATGGATTAATTTGTGAAAGGGAAGGGAAGGGAAGGGAAGGAAGAGTTTCCAAATCTGCAGTAATTGTAGGATTATCATTCCCATGCCATTGGGGTATGCTAGCTTGACAGGGAAGTATTGTAGATGCAGAATCTTGGCCACATATGAAGGCTGACTGTTAGTTCTCAATGGCTGCAAGAAAGATTTTGGCACGCAGGCTATTATTAAACCTGGATTGCATTAAGAAAAACGTAAATGTTAATACAAGTGATCCAAGTTCTCAGAATTATCCCTTCTAACCCCAATAATCCCATTCTTGATCATTATGGATGTTAGGGTTGCCAGTTTTAATTTCAGCTCATTTCTATGGTTGCATCTTCAATGGTATCTTGATGTGGAAATACCTACTTGAATTGCTTCCGTGCAACATTTTAAACAAACTGCTATTCAAAGCACTGGAACAGATAGGTGGTTTTTCCACTAAGTTAAGTTTTCCATTTAAGTTGCCTTGCTTTATCTAGAACGATACAGCTGACAAAAGCTGAATCCCTCCCTACATCTGAGAGGACTGATTATTTCTTTATTCTCCTTCTCAAGAAATGATGTTATACCAATGCCAACCTGTAGAGAGCAGGAGATAAGAATTAATATAGACATATTCACCAGTTTACAGCTTAGCTTAGATTTTTACAAAGAAAATAATCACAGATAAATAAATAATTAAATGTCAAAGAAAAACATTTATGTGTTAAGCTGCAGATGTGGGAACATACTTTTTAGTTTATAAGCCCGATTGCAGGACAATAAATGTAAAGCAAATGAATCTATATTTGTTTTAATCTGACAAGCACTTCCAATTTATTTGTTTTTTCTCTGGGACATATCACTGTCTGGTGGGCCTGGCTTTAATGTAGTCAATTGGTAAAATTGCAGGAATGGATTGCCTCTCACTGAACCAAATACCTCCTTACAAAAGCATCAAAATGGTGTTCTTTGTAAATGTAACTAATTCTGCATGAAATGGGTAAATGACATTATCACCCAAAGGTTCTGATTTTTAGAAGCAGGTAATATGTACAAAAAGTAGCTTTAAGACTACCTTTAAAGGGTTTGTAAAGTGGCAGCACAGCAACTCCCATTGTCTATCGCTGTTAGTTCTGCTGTTTTAGGGCTGATGAGAATTGGAGTTCAAGGACCTACCAAGAACGAAATGTAGCCCATTCATAATTTACAAGAAACCTTGTTAATGTTCTTTAATAATGCGAGGGTTCTCAGAGACTGTCTCTTTGGTGAAACAGTCTTTGCATGCATTGGAACAACAAAGGGCATAAACAGTGTAGGAACTGGAATGGATGGTAACAGTAAGAGTAGAGAACTCTGAAGTTTTCATTAACCTTTCTTAAGAAGAAGCCCACTCTTACTACTCTTTGGTTCAAGAGAGACTTGGTCATGTTTTCAGGGTCCCTTTTTTATTTTATATATCATACATTAAAGTGTTCTCCAAGATGAGCTAGCCCTGGTGGATTCATGTCCCGGTAGTTTCCTTGGCAACAAGAAAAATAGTTTGCCATTGCCTTTTTCCAGGATGTTTCTCTCAACTGCCCAGTCTAACCTATAGTTCTTATATCCCCAGTATTTCCACATCTGAGTTCGAACTAGATCTAATACTGCTTAGCTTTTTGAGAACCATCATGGTATAAGTGAGCCAGAATAAGTGTGAAGTGGATGTGTTTTATCAATACGATACAGAATCTTTTTTTGTTTCATAGGCATTCCATAGAAGACAAATGTAGTACATAAGAAAATAGCAACTTCATGATACAAAATTTGAAAATTTCTACATAATCTATTCTGATTCCTCCAAATTTAGTGATCTCACATGCTGGGATGATAGATCCATAATCCAAACTGGCATAATTGCTGACAATTCGGAGTATTTCAATTCCTAGCACAACATGATGGGAAAGGTTGAAGTAATTTAGACATAGAGACAAAAATCTAATGTAAATTATAATTGTGTTGTCTATGCAAATGAACAAACAAACTATAGTTAATGAAGCCAGTTTGTCCCTCTGTGTCTAGCAGCTGACAGCACTTACCCAACTTTAGTTATCTCAGACATTACACAGGGTTAGCCTTGATTAGTATTGTTTAGGAACTCCAGAGTAGAAAGTAGACTGAGAAATTAAAAAAAATAAATCCTAGAAGACAGTGACAAACCACTTCTGTATTACTTCCAAGAAAACTGAATGAATGCAGTCGCTAGAAGTAGACTTGATGATGTTTTTACTTATTTGCTCCTCAGAATTCTGACTCAATTTCAAAATTGAGCTCTCCGCACCACAACAGAAACTTGGGGGCCCCCTCCATCCTCCCTACACAGATGTTCTCTGGGGGCTCGACAGGGAGACGCATAGCAGGGAAGGGAAGGGAAGGAAGGGAGGGAGGGAGTGCAGCAGGGGTTTGAGGCTGATTTAGGGCTTCCCACCTGAAGGAAGAAAGTGGCAAAGCCAGGAGCTACGCACACCCCACTGGACCCCTGCTGCGCAGTTCTCCTCCCCTGCCTGCCAAGGGCAGGGGCATGATTAAATCCCCTGCTCTTCCAGGCGAAATGAAGGAGGGCCGGCCATCCTCCCTCCTGCCGGTTTCTGCCTCCCGAAGCCTCCCCAGAGCCCCTTTTCTGCCAGAGGCTGAAATTTTCGTGTAGGCTCTGTGAACTGCCAGGAATCAAAGGTGGCGCTGGTCAAAGACGACCCCGAGGCTCCAGTTGCCTCCATCTCCTGCTCACCAACCGGATTCGCATAGCGCCGGTTAGCGGCTGGTCTTTCTGACCTCAGGGCCCGTGGTAGCGCTGGGCCAGGCACGATTCGGGCCAGGCAAGGGATGGAGGGTTCCCGCTCGGTGGACCCAGGCAGCTTCATTGCCGGGTGTTCTTTGGAGGGAGCCCCAAGAGCGGCTGGTGAGGGGGATGGGCAGCAGTGGTGGGGGAGGCTAGTTTGTGGGGTGGCCGGGGGAGGGGGAGGTCAGAGCCAGGCTTGGGCAGGCCTTGCCCAGCCCTAGAAGCCCCAGCTGGCTACCTACCTGCCGAGGGAGCCGGCTGCCTACCTGCCGAGCCTGGTGGCAGGATATGGCCCTCGGGCGTCTCTGCTTTCCAAATGCGCAGTTTCTTGGAAGCAATATGGAGAGTCTAAATATAAGGAGCAGAAATCTGTTGAGTGTAATCAGGGCTGAGAGGCTGCCATGTTGGTTTTACGTCCAGCAGATGGCGCTGTTTTTCAATGTTTTTCGATGTTTGTCAATGTCTTTCAATGTTTTCCAATGTTTTTCATGTTTTACCTGTCACAGGTGTGACATGTATATAATATAGGTATATAAAAACATGCCCGTAGTCAAATGCAATGTTGTGTCAAAATTTGAAAGCAATCGGTGAAGAACTTTCAGAAATGTACGGTTATGTACAAATGGACATTTACATTTTTATTTATATAGATTGGCTTGAGTCCTGGATTCTGAAGATGAGCTGGTCAAGATTCTGACCTTCATTTACCTACTTTGAAAATATGGCAAAGTTGAAATTTATTTATGTGTTTAAATAATTTATATGGCCACCCATAATCATAGCAGTGATTCTGGGCAGTTATGCAAAGTTAAACTTAATGAATGGCCAAAGTTCCTATGTTCTCTTTAAAATTTTTCAAGATTTCTGCACAAATTTCAGCTTGCTGCCTCTCCTAGAGATTTGTTGTTATTATTGTTAGAATTAATAAGGATTACAAAGAAGAAATGTAATTAATTTTTGTGCTGCACCTACACCAGAATCTGTCCACCAAAAACTAACAGTAATTAAAATGTATCAACACACATCTAGTAGGTAACCTCATAGAGCTGCCCTTTGTCAGATGGTATTGTCTAGGCAAATTAAAATATTATAGATCTGTCTGGCTCTGTATGAAAAGACATAAAACAAAAAATTTAGCAGCCAACCTATTTTTCTCTTCTAGCCTCATCTAATTTAATTATCTGACTTAAAAGGCCATTTCTTGCACCTTCATCATAGGTGACGTGAACAGATAAGATACATTTAGTAACCTATTCAAATAATAAGATGAATAATCTAATTCTAATAATATGTTAAGAAGCTCTTCGGATTACACCCTCAAGCTCTTATGCAGTATTGATGAGCTTTAATTAGTAGATATAACACATTGTTGTTACCCTTACATGTATACAATGCCAGCTATAAATATGGCAGTTTACGAAGAATCTTTCTCATACAGAGACAGGGAATCAGCAGAGGAAGAATGAAATGGAGGTAGGAAAGGGTGGGGGGGGGAATGGCTGGTTTTGCAATGACCTAAAGTATAATTTGTAACCATAGTTTGTTGAATAAAACAACCCCAGAGCTATTGCATAATGCCAGGATGCATATAAAACACCTGCAACTCAAGAAAATCTCATTATAGCTTATAATTTAAATATGATTTGTTCAACTTTCACACTTCGTTATCGCACAGTTGTTAATTTTATCCCATGTGAATCCCTGCCAGGAGGGCAAAATGTGGATTGATCCTTTGTTTAACAACTTCAGGTGAGAAAATATCTCAGTTTATGTTGATTGTTATTCTTGCAAAACTGAGGTTGTTTGCAGTGAAAACAGCAAAGAAACCCAGCACAGTCCCTAAGTGCAGGAGATGTATAGCCGGAGAGCTCTGTGCACGGCTGAAATGTCTGCATGAAATGACTGGAAAGCACTGACAAGGGAGGCGCCGCCTCTCTTCCTTCCCGTTCCTGGCTTCTCCGCCGGCGCCGACTGTTCCCATCCTCGGGCATCACGTCATTGGCGAAGGGGCTGGTTTCCTCTGTAGAGGAGGAGGAAGAGGAGGCGGAGGAGGACCCCGCTTTCCATCAGCACCAAGGAGAGCTCCTCCCGACCTTCCCTCCCCTCCCCTGTCGCCATTCGTCCGGCTTTTGCTGCTTTTTTTCTCCGAGCCATCCAAGAAGGGGGCTGGAGCTAATTTGGGGAAGAGAGAGAGGAGGGAGATATTTCAGAGCCATCCGCTCTTGGGGGAGGTTGACCCAACGCCTTGTTTTCTGGGGGAAAATAGGGAGAAGAGGAAGGGGGAGGGGAGGGGGTGGGGAGGAGGAGGAAGAGGAAGAAGAGGAGGAGGAAGAGGTAGCAGTGACACCACCAGGGCTATTGAGAGCATCTTTCCCCTGGATGGAATCACATTGTATCCGGTCCACTATGGCGCTGGGGTTGTCCTCCAAGAAAACCTCTTCCCGGAACGTCTCAGTAGAAAGGAAAAATCTGATTACAGTCTGCAGGTAAGAGACTCTTTCATTGTGGGGGTAGGGGAGAAGGATGGATGCAGACTGAATAAAAGAGTATTCACTCTTAGCCATGTTCCCTAAGATAAAGCTGGGAGGAAGGCCAGATTAGTGGGCAAGTGGAAATGAAAGGTGCCATTTCTCAATATTTTAATTTTATGTTTAAACATTTTTTTAAAAAAAAGAAAAAGTCTGGAAATGGCTAAATTTACACAATGGTTTGCATACATTTCACACAGGTAGTACGGTATGAATATTCGGTGCTTTGGGAGTAGAGGTAAAAAAGTTAAAAGGCAAAAATACTATATTGAGTGATGGAAAAAACAATCAGGGAGATTGGAATTCAAGAGATCTAAGAAGGCAGACTAAGTTGGGCAGACAAGCAAATTGAAAGTAAAAAAAAAGGGGGGGGGGACAAATAACAATGGTGTAGAATCCCAAGGCCACACTATTCATCACTCCACTCAGCATAATCAATGGACATGCTAATTGGGAATGATGTGAGATTCCATCCAGCACATCCTCCGTTATGTTTGCAGAATCAAGTTTTCAGCATATCAATTTATGGATTTGAAGCTCAAAGTAATTGTGATTTCCAGAAATGTATCCTTAATTAAATCAGAGTAGACTCTTAACAACCTAGGAGATTTTCTCACATGGCCAGTAGATTTAAGGAATATACCACCTTACCCTAATGCTAGCTATTTTCAGCCTTGAAACCCTTATTTTCATTCACAAACTGATCAGTTAGCTGAGACAGTTTCAGACTGGCAGCTGAAATTGCAGCTCCAGTGCAAGGTGGAAAATTCTGGGAGGCAAGAGAAAGGCTATCTGTAATTCTTAGTTGTTATAGTGAATTGCTGCCTTTTAGAATAGAAAACATCATAACTTGAATCCCATGAAGAAGCAAGAAATAGGAAACAGACAGTCAGAGGGAGCCCTTTCAATATTAGAATCCCTTTCATTCCTTCCCATTCTTTTTCTCAAAGAAAGGAAAGAACTCTCTTGGAAACAATATTGACAGAAGAATGCTATAGACATCCATTTAGGGAGATATGAGATCTGGGAAGTGACATCACTGTAGAGCAGTAGAAGGGACAGCGGGAGAAAAGGAGGACCAACGGGCAGCTGCTATGGCAACAATCTCCATTTTCCAACAAAGGCATTGTGCAAAAAAGTAGAAGGACTACCTTTAGTTTCTAGTTTCCTCAACCTATATAAAAATAGCATTGTTAAAACATGGAGAAGATGGTGCAGCTTTTGTTGGAAGGTTAATGTTTTTATTCAGATGGATTTGCTTAAAATAATAACAATAGAAAAACAGTTTGGGAAATAAAAGCAGAAGAGACAATGGGCCTCTTCTATTAGGATGAATTTATATATCTGACACCAGCGACTAAGTGATCTCTGCTTGTCTGTCAAAGTCAACTGCTCAGAAAGACGAATAAATGTGGACAATCCTAGCTTGGAGCCAACCAAAGCTTTATGTATCTTCCTTCCTGGGATTGGGCAGAATTGATGGCCTGCCTCTAACTACTATGTACCTTTTATTCAACAAGATGACCATGAGATTCTGTACTTTTTGTTTTTTCCAATGAAGTGAAGGAAGATGTACTCTTCCCCTTAACAGACTTGTTTTTAGGATTGAATGTTTTTTTAAAATCACAATTATTCTTTTGTTTTTGGAAAGTTGGGTGCAATATTGATCATTCTAACTTTCCGAAAGGAGCTGGGGTGGAGAAGATAGAGAATGGGGAGCTAAAATGATGAGAATAGCTTTTTCCAGTCTATTGTCTTTCCAATATTTCCAGCCAGCACAATTGTTGACTAAAATATAAATTATAATCTATCCTTCTTAGACAAGCAAATATCAATAAGCAGTGCTTTTAAATTTAGGACAAAGAAAAAAACTCTGGGTGATGGATGTAAATCAATACTATTCACACTGTTTCTAAATACATTCATTGTTTCCACCAAAGGAAAAAAATCTACAGGAAGCATTTCTACAGACAAGCTTTTTCTGCTATTCTCTTTTTCTTAATTTATATAGTGCTTACATAAATTAGAAGAAAGAGTAAAGAGTAGGTAATCTTGACAGATAAAATCCAAACATTTAAATTGGCCATAATCCCATTGAACTCAAATAAGACCATCTTCTAGCTAGTTACACATAAGGCTAGTCTTATGTATAATCCTCTCTCTATATGTGCACATGACAGACATACATGATAACAAAAACCACAGAAAGAATATTGACATACAAAGTGTACTTTGGGGAGGGGGAGGCAGGCTTTGTGGAGAATCTTGAACATGTACTAATTATTTTTTTCCTTACCTTTGGGAGTCAATTCTGTGAAAAGGCAATTGGTTCATTTTTCACTGGGCTACATTTTTAATGCTGCATTAAGGAATGAGAAATTGTGACACTCATTAACACTATTCATCCTTCTCTTCATTTTACTTTTAAAAATAGGTGTATATGTTAAGAAACTTGATAAATACTCGAGTGATAACATTCGGCAACATTCTGAAAGATACTCTCTGAGCAAATTCAGCCTAACCATTGAAGATAAATTACAGTATTATGCTTCACCTACTTGGATATGGTAATAGTATATATTCTGGGTGCCTAGGAGTAGATGGATATCACTATCACCATTTCTCTAAGAGCATCTAACTAGCTGCTATCTGAAGAATGAGAACATTGACTTTTAAAGAGAATTTGGTCAGATAATTCTGGTGTTATTATTTTCAATCTTCAAGTAGTTCACAGAATGCAGAGGTTTAGAGATGGATAAAAACACTCATTGCTGTCTGAGCTGTGCAAATCATTTCACGTCAGCCTGGAAAAAGATGCAGCTTCTTTAATACGAAAACAGATGCTTCACATGTGCTTCCATATAATGCAAAGCAGCTCCTTTTAAAGGTTTAAACAGCTCTGATGCTTATTTTGAATCACTTAAATCATATTTTCAAGTAGCTTCAATTTCATGTTTTTATGGAACTTTCAGGAATATTTTTTCAGGGATTGCAGCCACAGCATAGGTAGGAGAGCATGAAAAGCCAAAAAATGATTAAGTTGCAAAGGCTATGCAAAACAGGCAGAAAAGCAAATAACAAGGGAATGGGTTTAATGCCAAATGCATCACAGGAAATTAACTGTCAGTAGATCAAGTAATTGTTTATATTGCTTTTAATTTTTTAAAAAAATAAAAGATTGAATCAGGAGTCTTTACTGATTGATTGATTGATTGATTGATTGATTCTTATTAACTGCCAACTCCAATGGATTTTTCAGACATACTATTGTACACACCAGCTCCTTTCAAGCTGTCCTGAACTAAAATGCTGATATTAGATTTTTAGCCAATAAGGAGATCAAGTTAGCAGCCAAATTGAATCCAAGGAATAATTGAAGATGGGAAAATCAAGAAAAATGTTCAGCTTTCCAAAATTTTGGGGATTATCAATTGATACTAGCCTTTATTAGATAGAACTGGCAAATTTCAGGTACATATTTAATGACAAAATACATTATAGCATTATGAGTTTATCTTTGCTTTACAGAGATCTGATTTTTTTTCCTGATATTCACATTATTTTGAGAGAACTTTGATGAACAGTCTACAACTTAAGCTTGATTTTCTAATTCATATTTGAATACCTAGTTAGGTAGTTGCAAAATTTGTTTACAGAATGTAATGTTTAATTAATTACATAATGCATTTAGTGTTGTATAAACATATGCAATTTGAGATGCAAACAGAAGCAAAATACATCAAAATACAATATACTTTAATTATAAGAGTAGAAGTTGTAAAATGTAGAACAGTGAAACACTGAGTAAAAGCTATGTTTCTCAGACTCCTGAAAACTGAGGAATTCTTTATGTGAGCTATTTGTACACATACTTCACTTTGCATTTAAAAGAGTTTACTTTTAACATATCAAGAAATAGAAATGATCTGCCCTAACAGAATCCTAATTACTATCATTCAATGATATGGAAAAGTTTTCTAATTAGCGGAAAGCCAGCCTGGAAAGGTGATTCATGCAGATATGCCATTGGCAGCCTCTTCTGAGGATGAGTAATTTTTTTTTAAACAGGGACCAATGCAATCACAGATGCTATACTCTCACCCAGCATCCAGCAAAACTAAGAAGGAATTATGGCCAGAGAAGTGGATCATACGGAAATGCAACAGCTACTCTCAGAAGCTATTTACAATTTAATTTGTATATGATATCAATCACCCAATATTAGTTTGCAACAGAGCACCTTAGGAGTATTGCTATACTTACTTTTGTGTAAATCTGGTTAGAGATATAGAGATATAGCTGTAAGTCTCATCAGATTTATGCCAGAAAGTTTTAAGTATTCCTTAATGCTCTGCTGCTTAAAGTCATTACTGGATATAACAAATAATCTGTTCAATAATTTTCCTAAAGCTGCTTAGAATAAAAATCTGCCACATGTTTGTTCATTTGCCACAATATTGAAACATAATACATTTGCAAGAAACTCAGTAATTAAAAATGTGTACCAGAACACATTTAAATGAGCATCGTTATATTTGTTCCAAATAAGGACAGGTAAAAGTTGGGCTAATCTAAATTGCCCTCATTTTACAGGAGGAGAAACAAAGAAGCAGATAAATATAAGAAAGCTTAGATTGGTCATCCGTTAAGGATAAATTATTCCAATTTGGGAATGGATAAGCTTCTGGTACCTGAAGCCTGACCCATTGATCTCTCTTCCTCCCACCCCATGTGCTTATGTAGGTCAAGTTATCTTTCACTAATGTGAACACTTCTATTCCCAGAATCCTCAATAGAAGTCTTAAGCTCTTCATTTCCTAAATAGCAGGATTTTTTATGACCAGTGATAAAGGCAGATATTTTTTAAATGCAAAACCTATATTTCATCACAGAATTCTGATGGTGGAAGACATGACTGATGTTCATTTACAGTGCCTGATCATCAGACAGCTTTATATTGCTGTCCTTGATGGACTCTAGGATTGTCCACACAGTGACAAGTTACCAATGGGCTTTGAAATAATTCTCTGTTAACTCTGAAACATGCAGGGAAAATTAACTAATGTCAAACATTTGAAGGCAGAGCATTTAAGCCCTCAGTAACAGTGCTATTAAGATATGAAGTTCCATATATGAAGAAAAGGTTGCTGTTATTGGCTTTCTCTGTGCTGAATTAAGGAAGAGTCAGGTTTGGCAAGGAAGGCAAAAATGTTTCTAAAAGCTGTATTTGCTGAGCATGGGAACAACAGGCTATAATGAGGGTCAGAAGCTACCTCGCTGAAGCTGAGCCCAAGCTTTCTACTGCTACTTTATGAGAAAAGACTCAGTCCATTGTGGAAAAGGAAGAACTTTGTCTTATGCTCATATTTTACAAAGAATTAGAAAAGCTATATCTGGTGATTTGGCTTCTTTTTCCTTTTAAGGAAATTCCGTTTAAAGAGAACTTCTGTTTAAATTCTGTTTCCTTTTTTCATTCAATTGTAGATTCTCTGTGAATACTTTATTGGAAAAATATATGATAGAACCCATTGATGACTCATCCGAAGAGTTTGTCAACTTTGCTGCAATTTTAGAGCATATACTCAGCCATCGTTTCAAAGGGGATCATGGTAGGTCAAATAAATGTATCTTGTGGATGAAGAGGTTGATGGTAGTCGTGCTAATCTGCATCACTGCAAATTTTATATGTGGAGCTAAGCAAAAACTGCCTATGGTTATGAACTCATGCATGGCTGCTTAGCCTTTGCATGACTGATGCCTGCAAATTGTTGACGTAAAATTGAGGAATCCCCTTTTAGATTCCTTATGTATCCAACATAAGATTGGATACAAAAAAAACCCCATATAGAATAGAATCATAGAATGGAATTTTTAATATAAGTCCCACTGATGTCAATATATCTAAACTGAAATGTCTAAGACTGAGCTTAAATATCTTTAAAAAAACAATGGTTTGATAAAACAGTGGTTGATCTGCATAGCCCTCATTATAACTCAGCATAAATTAGGGATATGTCTCAGTGTAATATAGTATTTTACCCTTCTGATTGGTAAGCAGCTAACTTGGTTTGCTTCAGGGTCACTCTTATCAATCCAATCTGTAATACAGATCAGAATTATTGCTTTCTTAAAGACTAAAGAAATTATGTTAAGAGATGGTGATTGTCAAGAAATAAACATTGAATCAGATGGATGGATGGAAGGAAGGGCCTAAAAATATAAATAAAACCCTTCTGAATCAAGCCAAAAGTTAAGTCCATTCATAGCTCTGTGTCATATATTGATACATATTGACCATATATTGATCACCATTAGGAGCAACCAGGAAATTTTAATTATCTTAGGGCTTCAACAAGTATTTTAGCGCCTAAGCAAACAGGCTATTTGTGTTATTTGTGTCTTCCCAAGGCACAAATCTTTGAATAAGATGCTAGACTAGAAACTAAAAGGCTGAAATCTTGTCCTCTACAGGCAAGAAAACTGGTTGGGTAACTTTATATACTCTATCCTGAACTGTACAAAATAATGACAGGCTATAAATACTTACATGCAAATAAAAACAAATATTTTTATTTATTTTTAAAGAACTAAAACTGTTCTATACACTTCTTTCTGCAAAGGCAGTTGGTGGTGGGAGCCCTGTGAAAAATGAGAAAAGGATATGTCTGAATAGGCCTCTATGAAAATTATCATCTGCCTTATCCTCTTTCTCTTCCCTGGGTCTTCCCAAGATATGACAGGCATCATGTATAATAATGGATGTGGGACTGACGGTGTTTTCTGATGCAATTTCAAAATCCACCTTCTAAATAATATCTGATATATAATTAGAATTAAATACATCTGATTTTGACATTCATACAGAATTCCACTCCCATTCATCCCAAACTGTTATGATACCATATATGTGCTGTATGTTTTAGCAAGCAATGGAATTGTTTTGTGATTCCTGTTGTAGCTGATAGCTATATTTCAATACACCCTGAGATCTACCATTAGAGTTTTCTGGTGAAAACCTGTTTTCTGGTGAACTTTGATAAAGGAAGTTGGTCAAAGTACTTTATATTGGTCATTGACTAGACTAGATATAAAAAGTTTTAATACATTAGGGATAAGGAAGCAATGTATATACATAAAAATGTTAATGTGCGTCTATTATAGATTTAAGATTAGACTCCTTAGCAAGTAGCAGCTAATAGACAGCCATTCATTATTGATCAGTATTGTCTGCACTACACTACAAGTCTTTCCCCTCCTTCCCTCCCTGCTTCCTCCTAGGTCCTGCCAGTTGGTTTAGCTCTGATGGACAACGTGGCTTCTGGGATTACATCCGCCTGGCATGCAACAAAGTCCCAAATAACTGCGTCAGTAGTATTGAAAACATGGAAAACATAAGCTCCTCCAGAGCTAAGGTCAGAAGATCTCAGGGACTGAGGGAAGCCCTGTTGGGCTGACATTACATATAGCTAAGTGGCCAGTTCAGGCGATAGATACTGGCAGTGGTGTATTAACCATTAAGCAGACTAAGCACGTGTTTAGGGCACCAGGCCACAAGGGGGCACCACAAAGTTTTATGTAGCCTAAGCTTGGCTTCATCTGTACAGTATGTACAAAGGAGTGGGGCACCAAGATTTGTCAGTGCTTAGGGCACCAGTGAGCCTTAATCTGCCACTGGATGCTGGAGGTTGTGAATGACAGCCAGGTGTGTGAATACAGAGCTGTTCGTGCTATACAGCCTGCCCTACCTCCTGACTCATTGCCTTTTGATACTACGGAGGTTGCCAGTCAATTGCCAGTTTATTTCTATATGTGGGATGGTATTGGAAAGCATCTTGACTTTTACCTCACTTGACAAAATTCTTTGGGCCCGCCCTTAAACCATCTTACCTTCCCTGCAGCTGTGCATCTGACTATATATGCAGATAGCAGAAGCAGGGAGAAAAGTAATAAGAGTTTTAAAAATGGTTTTTAAAAACTCAAGCATTTGCCTATGCTACATTGCTCCAGGATGGGGCAAAATTTGGTAGTCGATATTGTTGGTATACATTGTGTTTCACAAAATTGAAAGAACTTCATGGTTAACGGAAATACTCGAACAGAAAATGTACTCTAATTTCTTTCTCAAGTTGGACACATTACCTTCTCTTGTGTTATGTTTGATATTAGTCCAACTTTCTAAATCATTTGACAATGTTCCATTTGTTTTAGTTTTCTGTCTGAGACACAGCTATAATCAAACATTTAGAAAGGAATTCTGTAGTCCACTGTATTTGATATACCTGCATTTGATGTGAATCTGCATTATAGGATAAAGATAGCTGGGAAGAATCTTTTAAAAAACAGGTAAAAATCAGGTCAATGGGGTTTTGTCTTTAATTAATTTGGACCTGAACTGCTTCCAATGGATGGCTTATGGAAAGCTTTTATCTCTTATTTAATTTTCCACCACATTTATTTGATGGTCACTATTATTACTAAATGCAAACTTCAATGGTTGAATTGCTCACACTTGATTACCAATTAAGTTTAAGATTGAGAGTAAAGTAGCTCACTTTTCAAATCAAAGAGAGACATAAAATTTTATTTTTAATTAATTTTAATAACTCATTGCTTTATTTGAATATGTCTGTTATGTCTACAGTGACTCATCAACTACCTTTGAGTTTATTCAGGTGAGTTTCCTGAACTTATGTATGTTTCTGTTGGCCACAAGTAGCCAACAGAAACACCACTTTGTGTGAATTATCTCCCCTTGTTGAAAATCATGGCTTCAGATTCCTATGAGTCATTGATTTGGACACACATTGTATCTGGAAACAGAGATGTGGTGAGCAGCATCTTTTCTGAGAATGACGTCTATACTGTGGGATTAACTAGTTATTTTGATATGGAGAACTGATGAAGCATCTGCTTCCAACCAAGGCAGAAATAGTAAGGCAAACTTGTATGCCTTACTTGTATGGGTTCTTTGTCATTTATATTTATTTATGGCAGAGCTACAATGTCCTATTGTAAGAAAATGGACATAAAAGGTTAATGCCTAAATATTTTGTCATACTTGAGATTTCTGCCTAGGGGTTCCTCCAGGATGACACACTGACACTCATAAACAGGGGTGGGCTTCTGGGAGTTCGCAGGGGTTTGAGAGAATCTCTAGCTAAGATTCTGTGCAGTTCGGAGAACCCTCAAATCCCATTCCTGGCTGGCCCCTTCTACCTCACCCTGCCCCTCCCAGGAGTCCCCACACGGCCCATTTTGGATGCAGGTAAGTACAGGGTGTGGGGAGGGTGAAAAATGAGCTTACCGGAAGTTCAGGAAGAGGACCTCCGGAGCCTGGGGGGGCTGTTTTCACCCTCCTGGAGGCTCAAGGAAAGCCACCGGAGCCCGGGGAGGGCAAAAACGCCCCCCCGCCATGAGGCCAACTAGGCCACACTCACCATGGCTATGTCCACCCAGCAACCGGGCAGAGAACTCCTTGCTAAAATATTTGAAGCCCACCCTGCTCATAAACATACGCTGGGAGGTAGGAAAAGTCAACATGATGATTGTCATCTCATACCCATGATCAAAACACCACAGTGGTAGGGCCTTAATTGTGCAGCATCCACCTTGTGGGTATTTTTACTGTTGTTGATAGACACATAAATACCACTCCCATCCCCACCCCCACAATAGCCTTGGGGAATTTTTTTAAATGGGGTAAATTGAGTCTCTTTGTTCCCTTCCTTAGCCAACACTGAGGTGTGAGGAGTAAACATGTTGGCTCTACTGCAACTCAAGAAAAGAAAGATAAAAGGGCTTATTTGTATGTTGCAGAGCCTCCTAGCCCCACACATCAGGCATAGCATGTGGGAAGAGAACAAAAGGCCTACCAAAAACTTTTAAAAATCACCAGATCAAGAAAGAGGAACCCATTTGTTCTCTTTTCCTACATTTCCTGCTAAAACAGTAGGTGGCTGAGAATGGAGAGATCTCTTCTCTTTTTTTCCCCCTCAATCCTATTTGTTCTCAGTCTTATTTTTGAGTGGGCGTGTAGTGAGATCAAGAGCTGGATTTCCTTCTTCTTCTTCGTCTTTCCAAAACTTTTAGCTCAAAGGGAGTTAATTCTGTGAAACCAAATTCCAGAGGAAGAGAGGTCAGCTGGCTTCATTGTGCAGTCAGCCTGCATACCAGCATTCTGGCACAATGATGGAGAGGGGCCATGGCTTTCTGAAATTTCTTTCTCTGGCTGCAGGTCCATTTGAGAAAAAGCTGGGTGGGACAAGGAAAGAGAGAGGAGGAGGAGAACCTATTGCTTTAAATAAAACTTGTCAGAAAGTCGGTTCTATAAAACCAGGGAAGTTACAATTATTTATGACAACTGGGACCAAAGCTAAGCAATATAGTCATTAAGTGAGTTGTGCCCAATTTTATGACCGCTTTTGCTGTGGTTGTTAAGGGAATCTGGCTTCCACATTGACTTTGCTTGTCAGAATGTCCCCCACCTTCCCGGGAATGTCGTAAATGGCAATCACATAACTTCAGGACACTTATACCAGTGTGTGTGTGTGTGTGTGTGTGTGTGTGTGTGTGTAGTGTTAGGGTTGCCAGGTGTCCAGTATTTGGGCGGACAGTCCACTTTTTTCACATTATGTTCACTATTTTTTTTCACAAAATAGTGGACATTTTTTTAATTCAAAAGCTTTATGATGAAATGGTACGTAATCTAAAGCTGTATAGTCTAAGAGAATAAGGATAGGAGTATCGCGTTTTGTCTTTTTTTTCATAAGTTAAAATGAGATAAAGATCGAATGCTCATTGCAATAATCACATTTTACACAACAGTGCAAAAAATGCATTAAAGCAGTTATCTTTTGATATCGAAAATGTAGTGCTGAAGGTTTTTGCCGAATTTTCGAATTCTGCAAAGAAGCGAGAAGAGTTGAAATCATTTTTTGAGTTTTGCGAGTCAGAATTCCATGAAGTTTTGCGCCATGTTCCAACACATTGGTTAAGTTTGTTTAAAGCGGTCGAAAGACTTCTTTTAAACTGGATACCTCTAAAATCGTATTTTATTTCTCTTGGATCTGATAAGTGCCATAAGGTTATCTGGAACCTTATTTCGGATCAGGAAAATGAACTCGCAAAGGACAATGAACCAACAATTTCAGAATTGTATTTATATTTCACGCACTTCTTCATGTCAATAATGCAAGACACCCTACTGAAGCTGGAAAGCAAGAAAATTCTTGCATGTGATATTCACATTATCATGTGTAAGATGCATGATTCTTTGCAAAAAAAAAATACGATGAGCAGTTTTTTGGAATGAAAGTTTTATTTGCCTTATGTAAAAATATTTGCCTGAGAATGCCGTGCAAAAGTTCAAGAAGGAAGCCATCAACGTGTATCAAAAAATCATTACGTACCTAGAAAAGTGGTATAATTTCACCGATTCAGTATATGAGACGCTAAGTTGTTTCAATCTAATTGATCGCAATAATCCTCCAACTTTAGAAGAAATGACGAACATCTGGTTATTATCACCATGGCGAGAAGAACTTCCACCCAACACTCTCTTCGATGAAATTTCTGCCTTAGAAGAAGTTTATGTTCATCTGCAGGGCGATTCATCCCTTGATAAGTGGACGTACTTTTTCAAGAAAGAGCCAGCTCCGAGTTTACTGAAACTGTTCCAGTATTGTGCATCAATTCCGGTATCAAATGCAAACGTTGAACGAATTTTTAGCGTCATGGGAAATTTGTGGACTGACGAATGTAACCAACTGCTTGTATCAGTTCGAAGTGAACTTCGTATATTTTTTAATATTTCTCAACATTGTACTGAAATTAAAGAATTATTCCTTAAACACAAAGAATTGATCAAAGCTGCGCAGTCAAATAAAAAATACACACGACAGCAAAGAAAATGTAATTTAATATTTTACATATTATTATAATATATTTGATGTTTTGAATTTTAAGTAAAGTTTTGAAGTGATTATTTTAATACGTGTTAAAATGTTTGTAAGAAAATATATAATTTAATTGTAAATTTTTAAAAAAAAATTTATTACTTAACCCCCCCCTCCTCGCTTGTCCACTATTTTTTGGAAGCAGATCTGGCAACCCTAGTGTGTGTGTGTGTGTGTGTATGTGTGTGCAAGTTGCTAAGTGCCCAAATTTTGATAATGTGACTGTGAAGATGCTGATTGTGAGGATGCATGAGGATTGGTTGTAACTCACATCTTTCAGCACCGTCGTAACTTTCAATAGTCATTAAACAAATGGTCATGAGTTAAGGACTATCTGTAAGGCAAAAACTTTGGAGAGGGCGAGACATACTGACTTTAAAAAAGGTATGTATTAGGAAACAGCAGTGGTTTAAGTTACTTAATGTCACAATAGAAACCTTCACTTGGCTGTCATCCAGCTTTCCTTAGATTTTTCCTAGCTATCTTTACTTCGTGTACAGATTCAGGTTGAACTAGATATAAATCTTTTTCAGCATTGGTCAGAATCTTGTGCTGAGTTAGTCCCTGTACATTTACGATCGACAATTTTTGTAGTGCTGCCTGTACTAGCAAACTTTCTGTTTTAGGGCCGGGCATGGATTCGTGTGGCCCTGATGGAGAAGCGCATGTCTGAGTATATTGCAACAGCACTTCGGGATACTAGAACCACCAGGTAAGAAGGTCTGAGCTTCCACCAAATAGTCACCCCCTTTTCCTTTGCCCCATTTTCATCTGATCAAGTAGGTTGGCCGTCCAACTCCCTAGTTACTTTCCCAACCAAAATTACAACTATACAGAGGAGCTCACGTAGGGCCACACATCCTATCAAATAGGAAGGAAAAAACTGTCCCGAGCTCGTAAGTGCAAATACAGTGTAATGTTAGATCCATGTAATTAGACATTTCAGAATCTCAAAAAGTGGATTCTGGTTTGGAAATCTTATACTTGGTATAGAATGACTCTGCTGTTGTTTTTCTTCTGCAATATATAGTACTCATAAATGAACTTGTATTCTGCAAGTGCAAGACAATTACTCTCAACTCTTTCTGGAAATCTGTGCAACTTAAATTCTAAGCCTGAATGGGCAAGAGGCTCTTATAGTGCAATATTTGGCACTAGCCCAGTTTTTGAATCGCTTGATCATGACATTATATACAGGGAAAGCAGTGCCTAATGCTTTGCCTCTATGATGCAAAAATATCTTATGTTCAAACTGTTGACTAAGTGGGTTTGTAAATGTGTTATACACATCAGAATTTTTGGATGGCTTAGAGCATGGGTGTCAAACTCGATCACGTCATGTGATGTCACATGATGTATTATGACATTTTTTTTGCCTTTGTGGAACTGGGGTGGGCGTGGCCTGTGCATGATGCATCTGGCCTGGGGGCTGCCAGTTTGACATCCCTGGTATAGAGGTACCTTGATCCTGTCTGGTGGGGCTGGACTTGAGGAGGCCAATGAGCCTGTAAACTCCTCTTGGTATCTTTCAAGCTCCTACCCAGTTGATGCTTTGATGTTTTTAGTTTTTTGATTGTAGGTAGCAGGCTGCAGAGGAAAGCATCTGTCTTTGGCTTAATTTTTAAGAATGTGTCTGGGAACCCAAATCATCCCCATATGTTTTTCTTGAAATATAAAGTAGTGGGCTGCTGTGACTAGGAGACTTAGTTAAGAAATGCCCAACTGTCCAGAAAAAGAACAAGAGTAAGCAAGAGTTGTTTCCTGTGAAAAGAAGGGTGGAGGCAATGGCAGGCATTATTTCAGTAAAGTAATATTTTATAAATAGTTTTGACATGGGATGACCTTATACTATCTGTCTATATGCATTGTGTGTATTCCTTTCTACTCTAAGGGAGAAGTATGTAAATGTACCTATTTTGTTTTTTTTCCATATTTGTAATATAGTCTTCGATTTACAACAGTTCATTTAATGACCTCTCAAAATTACAACAGCACTGAAAAAAATGACTTATGTCCATTTTTTACACTTATAACCATTGCAGCATCCTGCATACTTACATGATCAAAATTCAGATGCTTGGCAACTGACTCAACTTTATGATGATTGCAGTGTCCTGGGGTCATATGAATCCCTTTTGCAAACTTCTGACAAGCAAAGTCAATGGGGAAGCCATATTCACTTAACAACCATGTTGCTAATTTAACAACTGCAGTGACTCACTTAACCCCCAAGGCAAGAAAGGTCATAAAATGGACCAAAATTCACTTAACATCTGTCACACCTAGCAGCAGAAATTTTGGGCTCAGTTGTGGTCATAAGTTGAAGACTACCTGTAAAGCACTGTAGGAGGTATGGGATAACAACTCCCATTTCTTTTTCCACATTTATCCCTATTTAATCAAGAATGTCTCTCTCTTTCCTCACCTCTCCCTCTGTAGAAGATTTTATGATGATGGAGCAATAATGCTGCGAGAAGAATCGACTGTCCTTACAGGAATGCTGATTGGACTCAGTGCTATAGACTTCAGGTACATTGAGGCCCTCAAAAATAAACATTTTTGTCTGGATAAACACTTTGGGTAAGCATTGTATTTTCCATAATATACCTATTGAATGAACTACATTTGATTGCCTTTGCACATAAAATAAAATAAACACTATTGTGGAGATGTGTGTGCCCAACTGATATTAGAACTGTGATACTTCCCTAAACTACCTATGGTAGGTACTCCAGAGAGGGATCTTTAAATAATTAAATCCAATCTTGATTTGTTTTACAGTTTCTGCCTCAAAGGGGAAATTATGGATGGTAAGACACCAGTGGTTATCGACTATACTCCATATCTGAAGTTTACACAGAGGTAATGGGTTTTCCTAATGTTGCCTTGTGTCATTAGGTTAGGCTACAGAGCTGGATGGCAGAAGGTTCTCCAAGGCTAGAAATGTAAATTTGATTGTTCAGAGTTGAAGATATGCATGTTTAATTTAAAGGGGAGTATTCCATTAAAAAAAAAAAAAGTAAGAACACATTCTAAACTGGCTCCACATGTAATACAGATTGGGTCATCATCATCATCATCATAATTGGAGAAGGTACTAAGCTGGCAAAATTAATTATATCCCTTCTGATCATAAATTTGCATAAAATGACAGGGGACAAATTATGAATGCTCCTGCATATTAACAAAAATAACCGTTCCCGTGAAGATAAATAAATAGCAGAACAGGTAGAACAGAATGCATTAACATTCTTTTTGTAGGTTAATTTTTTTTTTAAATGGAAGTTTTCAGAATGGTATTCTTCAAGCCATTCTTATTAGGATCACTAAAATATAGCACTGCTGTCTTGAAATGGAAATGGAAGACTCTAGCATTAAATTGTGCGTCCCATTTCAGTCGCTTTTTTCCCGTAAACTTCAATCTCTCTAGTTATGATTACCTAAGTGATGAAGAGGACCGGCACAGCCTGGAAAGCAGTACTAGTGAAGAGAGCTCTCCTGACCACCCTTACTTACCATTAGTGACTGCAGAAGACAGCTGGTACATTAAATGGCGCAAGATAGAGCAGAAGTTTCGCATCGTCTATGCACAAAAGGTACCTGGAGTTCAAGCATGAGCATAGGGCTCTGAGGGTCAAATCTACAACTGGCATAAAAGCAAGATGTCTCAAAACGCATGGAAATGTTCAAGGTTGCACATCTGAGATTGGGGCGAGATTTAGAAATAGTGCTCCAGCCTCAGAGAAAGAAAGCTGACAAAGGAGCCCCTCCTGTGCTCCACAGGACTTCTAAAATCAGCGTTTTGAAGTTAAAAAAGTATATCAAAGGAAGATTTTCCAGGAGGGGATGAGAATTTAATTCCATAAAACTTCCATGGAAAAGTTCTAATGGATGCAAAGTAGACACGGAGAGGGATTTCTACATGACTGCACCATATAGAAAATTTTTGCTCTTCCCCAATTTGTATTGGGGAAGAAACTTCCCATTGAGAAAAATCAGATACCAGGGTTCTTCTAAATTGTTGACTTCAAATGTATTGGATTATGGGCAGTGTTTGGCGACATAAAAATTATAGCCCAATATAATTGGAAGTCACCAGATTACAGGAAATTTTGCAATAGGTTAAGATAGTTCAGAATCTGTAACCAATTCAGGAGTTAATTAAAGTATATTGATTACCTTACCAGACAGACAATTCTTAATATATGTTTGGTTTCCTCCTCCTCCTCTTCTCAAGGAATACATCCAAGGAACAACTGGTTAGGGAAAGCTTTTCTAAAGCTTTGATTATAATTAACTCCACAAAATACTTTTTGCCACTTTAAATCATTTCAGAGCTCCTACTGCTATGTACCAAAGACGCACAGTTTTGGATTACATGCTAAAGAAATCCCTCAGAAGTCCTTCTTTATGCTTTTCTTTGTCAAAAACACAACTGGGAACACATATTGTGGTCACCTAAACTTTGAAATGTCCTTTTTAAGGATTATCTGGTGTAGAAAGCATATATTTTGGTGCAATATTTTTTAATTTGCTTTCTAAAGGCTTATACTTGCTAATATTTTTAGCCACCTGTTGGTTTATTTATTTGTTACTACTAGTTTTGGTATGCTAGAGAGTTCAGTCCTGATACAACTTTTGTAGGTTATTAAATCAGTAGTCTAAAAAGAGGTTAGCAATTCACGGACAAGAGTGATTTTTAAAAATTCTTGCTTATTGGCTGTTTTTGCAGTTTACTTCAATAATCCATTAATTGTGTGGCAATTTGATTGTATTGCTGCATAGGAATTAATTTTTCTCCCTTTCCCCCTCATTTGCTGTGTCCCAGGGCTATCTAGAAGAGCTAGTTCGGTTGAGAGAGTCACAACTCAAGGATCTGGAGGCAGAGAACAAGCGCCTGAAGTTAAGGCTGGAAGAGGTGAAGGTGCAGAATCAGTTAGAGAAACGGGAATTGGAAGGGATCATCCTGGAACTGCAAGAACAGCTGTAAGTAAGATCCAACCCCACATACTCTCCTTGCCAGTAATAAATAGGCCCAAATGGAATCCATTTCCACTTGCCCTAGGAGACGGGGTTCTAAGGTTTGTTAAAACTGGATTCTGAGTCAAGTGGGAAGATGGACACAGTGCTTTTCTCTGGTTCCTTGCCTTGAGATGACAGGTTGCATTCCCTCCTCCTCAATCAGATTTCCCTCCTCCTGCTCTGCCCTCAGGACGGGCCTCATTCCTTCAGACAACAGCCAATTTGTCCAACTCTCCAAGGAGATGTCTGCACCCTTGGTGAACCAGTGGCCCTCTTTGGGTACTCTGAACGTTAATGAAAGCCATGCAGAAGCCAAGATATTCAGGAGGTCAGTGTGTGTCTAAAAGATGTAACCTTTTCTCTAAGGTCTATTGCATCCTCACCACAATTGCTGAAAATCTGTGGTGCATGTTTCCTCCGTTTCAAGACAAGAAATAAGTTTTACACTTTTCAGTAAGTTTAAAATTCATGGAAAATAATTTAATCTTTTTCCCAGTTTCCGTTTTCATCACTAATTTGCTTATCACAACCCTTCACATGCCCCAAAACTTGTGTAGCATCTTTCCACTAAAATATTGCCTATCTTTGTTCCACATCTAATTCTCTATTTGCTCAGTCTAGGTCAACTTAAGCAAATAACTGAACCATAATAAAACCCTTCTAACTTTTCTCTGGTTTCAATTTGTCTTACTAAAATGGCCAATCTGCTTTTAAAGAGAAGCAGAAAATTGATTCTTTTTCAGAATGAAAGCATCGAACATTGATGTTCTTGGAAAATGATTAAGGCCACCATCTAATTTAGTATGCCTTCATTATCTAGGAAACATTTTATCCATGGAAACAGGTTTCTTTTGGCAATCCTGCCACAGAGGTGGGCAATTACAGACCAAAGTTGCATTGTGACTAAAAAATTCACCGAAAGTCTGCCTGAAAAACAGTCTAGCTATCTGATTTCAGTAGCTATATAGGTTGCCTTGTTTTAAGATGTGCCTCCTGTACACATCAGAATTATATAGCCATGGCAGCCTGCTCGAGACTTCCTACATCAAGTCTTGGCAGGGGTGCCTTTGGAATTATGAGACCAAGTTATGAACCCTTTAAACATGGCTCATGTGATAGGCATGATCAAGATAAATTATAAACCACCCATTGCAAAAAAAAAAAAAAAAAAATCAAAGTGAAAGATGCTTCCAGAATGCCCTGACATTCATCTTCCTTTTTTTTTTCTTAATAGATGGTCATGTTCAAACAAAGCAATGGTTTGTAGCCACTCACTATCTCTATCATTTATATGTTAAAATGAAGTTAGGTAGGACAGGGGAGCTGGCAGATCTCAACAATTATCATCAGAATACCACACTGGATATGTACACATTCTGGGATTTAGTTCAGAGATGTCTCCCAATTCTTTCTTTCTTTTTTCCTTTTTTCCAGGCACAGTTTCATGAGCACAGATCAACTCTCCACAGAAATAAGCTTGAGTTCTGATTCACAACGGATGGGTGAAGGAAAACATGAAGGGGAACCTTGGGGGCCACTGGGTAAGAGTTTGCATAGTCTTGGAAATATCTGTGATTAGAGTTGAACATCACTCAAAGCCCTTGTGTCATTTCATTTGGCTTAATGTTTTCCGAACCCAAACATATTGTCCTGCTCAACCATCTGTGGTTTAGTATTTGTTAACCCCAAAATGGTTTACTTTTAAAAAATAAGACATGCCACAGCTTGCCCTTCACATTTTCTTTTCCCTTTTATGTATGTGAATGCTGGCTCCCACAGAGAACATTTATTCAATTTATGGGCCACCCATCTCCCTGATAAGACAATTCTGAAAAATTTTAGAGTCCCATAATTAATATTTTCCAAGGCAAGTATGTTACAGAAGAAACAGATTCTTGGTCTTGGTTCAAATCAAGCTGAGACTATGAAATCACACTTCCTAACCTGTTTTCTGCATAATGTATGCAAAACAGTTATTACTTTCAAGAAATAAATAGTTCCAATAATTAATAACAGCGGTTCTTCACAAACCATAAGTTCTATTTTCCATTAAGCATTGTCTACAGAGCTTTCACTGACTTCACATCTAGAACTAAAGCAAAAATAGGCTTTGTTGTTCCATCTCCCTCTGGGCTTGCCTTTTTCCAGTTGATCTTCCAATATATATTATGTAATTCTGTTCAAACTACCCTGAATATATTAGAATTCAATAGCCTTTTATATTTTATGCTTTAAACAATTATTTTTATTGTTTGAATTATTAAGACATTAGAATCATTTTAAGTTGATGTTTGGGACAAAACATTGGACATAGTATTTAGTTTCAAATTGATGCCAAGATGAAATTATCCGCCATTATTTGCATTTAGTCTTGAAATTTGTCTTTTCTCAATCAAGAGGCACACTCATGACAATAACATGCAGAAGACTGGCTTCTTTGCAGGATCATAATTCTGTTCTGTATTCTCAGTCTTCTCCTTTTTAGGGCTACTATTCAAATAGCATGGACATTCATCTTATGCAATGCCAGCCTTCTGTCTTATCTCTCTAAAACAAATATGTAATTAATTTTTCAAGTTACAACTGCTGTTTTTTGGATTAAGCTCCAAATTTTTAATCTTTCAATAAAGTTAATGAATTTTTATTGAGGAGTTTTTAATAATTTATTAACAAATTATTGAAGGTGGCACTAAATGCCTGCCATATGCGGCCTCAGACTCTTCAAAAGTTATCAATAGATTTCTTTTTTAAGCCAAAGTAGAAATTCAACACGCAGAGAAAGTTTTAGCTTTTAATCTAGTTGTACCCCTTGTTGGAGTATAGGCCAGCCATGTTCTCAGTGGTGGTCTACACTCATTTAAAACCCCTCCCTCTCTTCTTCTCTCTGCAGGAAAGGACCCAACTCCATCAATGTTGGGCCTCTGTGGATCTTTGGCCTCTCTGCCTAGCTGCAAGTCTTTAGCTAGCCTAAAATCCAACGAGTGTCTGGTGAGCGACAGCACAGAGCCTAGCCCTGCTCATAGTCCCAGCTGAAACAGCAGCAGACTATTCTCATAAATCTTAAAAATGTCTATGAAGGAGATTTTGGGTGGACAAAACATCTTGAGTCAAGCTCCTTCGGCTTGATTTCAGTAGTTGGGGAGGGCAACTGAACCATTTATCCAGCTTGATGCAAAAGGGCAAAGTGTCTGCTTCCTCATCAAAATATTCTTAGAAACCCAGACTTTCTTCCTTAAATTGGGAGCAGAGGAAAAAAAATTGAGAAAGCACCCCCTTTGTCAGAAAATGGAAGGATTGGCAACAAAAAGCGCTTTTGTAACATGATGCTGTATATATGTAATGTATATAATATATGGTTGAGATTGCCAAAAGGTGGCTGCCTCTGCAAAACAACATTTAAGAAAAAAATCCTCTGTCTATTGCCAGAGGCAGAAAGATCTCTACAAGTTGAAAGCTGCCGCACATCGTTCAATGTGAAGATTTGCACAATGGACAAGGAAATTGCCTGGTCCTATATCTTTCCCTTTTCATTGAAGTGAATGCTCTGTGGTTGTGTTCCTGAAAACAGCATTTTAAGACTTACTTGTGGGAAGAGAGATAATTTGTTACCCATGTTAAGCCCACTGCCGCACTTCAAAGACAACTGCAGGATCTGTTTTGGTTAATCGTATTACAGAAAGGGGATTCAAGGCAGCTTCAGATTCCTGGATAACTTTGCAGCACAAGAATCATTTTTGTGTCTTCCTTGGTCCTGCCACTCTTGAACGAGTCTACTTCCAACATGTTTCTCCTGCATGTTGCTATCCCATTGGAAATTTCTGCTATAGAGACAGAACATTGGAAGTTGAAGAACCAATATTTATATCTTGACTTTGATCTGTGCCATAGTTCTGAAGCAGCAAGACAAACATTAAGAATCTACTCCAGGATAAATCAAGATCGTCACTGACCAGAACTGAGAAACTGACTGGTACCACCTAGTGAGATTGTTAGAACAAACAAACATTAAATCAAATTAAGGAGTTGGCAGACAATGCTTACTGATGCTTATTTTCTGGTAAGAAATCCAGGCTGGGTTTTTAAATTCTGCAGTCACTAACAATTTCAACAGTGACCAACTGTGTCAAGAATGGGACAAGTCACTTACGTCTTCCCATTCCTCCCTCCAAGTAAACACAAGTCTCAATGGTTTATGTGTAACACAAAAGGGAAGAGCTTCTTCCCATAACCTTGTAATAATGACAGTATTGTCAAAATTACAAAGCCATAACTGAAAACCTTCGGTATGTCTATGTGGGTGGTGAGGGAATTCACATTTCTCCCATTTAGAGTACTGAGAGATAAACTGGCTGTGCTTATGAGCATTGCAAACTTAGCCTATGTTGCTAGTTATGTACACTAACTATGTTGCTAGTTATGTACACTATGTTGCTAGTGTACGTTTAGAACACTGGCTCGAGTGAACCAGGAAAACTCCAGTTTTAGTCATATATTTTCTCATAAGCTATTATCTGCATATTGCTGAAAGAATGGGGAATTGCTCAAGACCAATTGATAAGCTGATGGTGAGGCACGAAACTCAATAGTTTCCCATTGCTGCCAACGTTATTTAGGAGAATCTTATCCCAGTGCAACATTTCCTAGAATTAGAGTATTCTAGGATAATCTAGATTTAGAATTTAGTATTCTAAATCTTCTGAGGCTCACAATATATGACAGGATCAGCAATACAACACCTGCGATCACCATGTCATATAAGATTTCCTATGGCTGTTAAAATAAATTCAACTCATACTAGGGGCTATCTTCTGTGTTTCTGAAGTCCACAGGCTGAGAATCTTTTGGTCTTAGCCAATATATACTACCAGCTCTCAAAACCAAAACTGGATTAAAATAAATGTTCATGGCTCAGCAGTAATGATCTGCTTGTTGGGTGAGGAAAAAGTCATTAAAATGTTTAAGAGTAAAGGAAGTCATACAGAAGCCAAAAGGAATGTATTGTATCATATCCCAAATTATCCACCATCAGATTCTCCCATCTGGAAAATATGAACTATACCAGCAACAGAAAGCTAGATACATTCAAAATAACTTCTTCCTTATCGACTATATATTTTACACCTTAAAACATTTCTTATTTGCATTCTTTTTCATCTTCTAATATATTAATAATGCTATTGTACCCATTTCTTTGCATTCCTGTCATGCCAGTGGTCTCATCTACTGGCCTCATGTGCAGCAACTATTGTACTTGGGGTGCTCAAGATTTTAACAGCTTGCACGGTGGTGATAAGGAAGGTTTCAGTTTGCTGAAACAATGCTATTAGAGACCTAATGATTTACTGCTGGTATTGCAAAGACATATGATCTACATACACATAATATACTAAACTTGTTCACAAATGACAAAAAGAAATCACATTGTGGCCTGATTTATCCAACACACTGACACAGTAGTTGAGTTTACATTTTATATTAAAGCAAACTCCAATTTAGCCTGGTCTACCATGTTTTGCAAACTCGTCCACTGAAACAAAATTTCCTCTTTTTGTTCGTACAATAAAATAGATTTAAGTGTAAATCTAGTGAATCAGCCTGTCAGAGCGAGACAAAAAAACCAAAAAGAACAACATTTTATTTAGGAATCAAATGCATTCTTCTAATCATGGTAGTTCTCACTAGATAAAGAGTTTTAAAGATTAAAGACATATTTTTTGTTGCCAGAGGCCACATGGCAATGTGTGCACCATTTTTTGGGTCCTATAGAGTCCTGGGAACAAGATTTTATCATCACTGAATTGAGATGGACCACACTGCCTGATTTTTTAAAAATAATTTACCAATCATGCTATTTCTTTATGGGGTAAGGAAACAGAAAAGTATTAAGAAAAATTAAGCAAAAGTAATTAAGTACTGGAAATAGGGCATTCTCATTAAACTTGATTATTTCAAAATGATTCACTATATTTCTCTACATCCCATCAAACAATTTGTAGTTCTATTGTGTTCATACATCGATTCCAATAATGTATTTTGTTCGTTAAACTTATCATCTGTGTTTTTTTGACTGTCATTCCAAGATTTCAGGTAATACCAGAAAATGATACTCTTCAATGTTCTTCCTAAACTCCAAGAGCATGGTCAAAAGATCTGAGATCTCAAAAACAGTGATCTTTATAATAAAATCTAAGGGTACCTGATGAGAATGCAAGGAAAGAAAAACTCAACAGAAAGGCATATCAATAGTCAAGTAATGTTTACTGTTTTGCTAAAAAAAAGTGAATTTTATTCAAGAAATAAAAAGCTCAGCTTTTCCCCCTCCACAAATATGTAAGCAACAGGCACATAAATTAACAACATAGAATGGACAAAGACTATCAACTGCTAATGATGCTACGTAAGATATCTGGCATCAAAGCAAACCTTGGCTGGCTATTCTCAGCTCTCCTTCAATATAGCAAATATTGAACCAGAGAACAGGAGACTAATTCATTTTCATTCATACTACTCAGTGTGAGGATTTCAGAGTTTAAACTGTTCGTGATAGTGTGAAGGGAAGAGCTGGGCAAAACCTGAGTGTTCAAAATCAGTGTTTCTATTCAAAGCTGTCAAAGTCCAGCGTAGGATTGCAAATTCAGACAACTATGTTTGTCATGCATAGGAAAAGTCAGGTAAAAAAAGAAAAATAGAAGCATGCAGGCCAATAGAACCTTTGAAAATTAAGATACAGATGGAAACATCTGCTATCTACCAGCAACTTTTACTTTCTGAAGGCCTACCAATAATAATAATAATAATAATAATAGTAATGAAGCAGTAATGGGCATGACAATGCTAGGCTGTTTTCTCCCCTTTTTTTCCTTTTTCAACTGGCCAACAATCCCAACACTCCAGGATCATACTATCCAATTGTTTTAAACACAAGATATTCTGGAGCTTCTCCTCTTCAAGTAAGTCAAAAGTTATAGCATCCAATCTTGTCAGTACCTAAAGAGGAGAGGGTTTAAAGCCAAGAAGCTTAGTTGTTGTCCATCAAGAAAAAGAGAAAGACAGGAGACCAGAAGCTAGCTAAAGGCACCTGGAATTTGCCTGATGAACGAGAAATCCTATAAGGAAAGCAAGCAAGAGATTTATTGGTTATGTGGTCTTCTCAATTTTGATTAATATTATTCACAGCTGGATCCGCTTTTATATCCAATCCTATTCACAAATTGGGGTTTTGTTTTGTTTTTTGCATCTACCAAAATGTGTCCTTTCTCTTGCCATCAGCATTTCTTTGGTCCATCTGGAGGCTACCATCCAAAGCTCTGTTTATAGGCTTCATAGACTACTTAACTGCCGCTCCTGGTTCATTTTCTGGAAGAAGGTCTTGCCAAATTCATATGTGCTAATCATGATAGCACAGGCTGGAGCCACCTTGATAACACGAGGCAGAAAACCTATATGAATTTTGGAAGGAAAGTGCAGGAGAGGGAGAAAGAGGACAAGTAAATACATCTTGCCAAATACAAAGCTATCCTGCCTTTTTGCTGATATAGTGAGCTGAAGGGTAGTAGTTGATTGCCCTTCCCCCCTCATCATTTTTCTTGATTTAGATGAGGAAAGGGAATTCTATAGTGACAGTCGTCTAGTCTGGCAATGACAGAAACGAAAATGAATGTTTATCTTCTTTTAAATTTAGTTGTCAGACCGCACTGACATTATGTAAACCACATTAACACTGTCAAAAGCAGAGAAATAATATTGTTTTAATGATTATAGAGGGGTTAAGAGTACAAGATTATAGACAGCCATAATTTTCACCACCAACAAGCCCATCTTGCCCAAAGATTAAAGTAGAGATTTTAGTATAAAATTAGATAATGTCACCTGTAAAGAGCCCTCGTGTTCCAGATTCTGCCCAAATCTTCTGCATAAGTAGCCAAGTTGATGAGGATTTGGGAGTGGTAACTGAGCAAGAACAAGTAGTAAATAAATCAACTCTATACAGATTGTTATATTACATTTTCATATTTGCAGGCCTGTATTCACATACGAGTTTCATATGTTAGGTTACACATAATCATGTACACATGAGTGTGAGTGGGGGCACTATAAGATAATTCTTTTTTTTTCTTTTTGGAAAATTTGTCCTCTCTATCAATGTTCCCCGTACAGAGTGTATCGTAATTTGATAGCATTAATCATGCAACCATCCACTCTAAATTACAAAGGTTTATATATAGGGCATGCACAGAATGACAGAATGTCTCTTTTTTTCAATTCACCTCATAGTGTCTTCTTTAGCACAGACATAACATGTTAATGAGATTATTTTAATTACAATCAAGTCAAAGAAGCCTTTTTTCTCACCAGGGCAGACCAGTTTGTTGCTAAAATGTTCCTCCAACTAGATGCTATGAAACACAGTGCAAATACTTTAGAGAAACATGATTGGAGTCTGGGAGAGGCAAAAGCAAATTCTGTCAGATAAGAAACTGGTACCTACTGGACCTTCTTCTGGAAATTATTCACTTGGCCAAGATAATTATGAAAAATCAAACTTGAATATAATGGAATTTGATTGGTTCTTACCTGCATCTTTTCACATGTGAATAAGAACCAGAGGTAAACTTTTTTGATCGAAAGTTAAAGTGATCTTTCTTGCCAATGAGCTAGGATTGCCTCTTCAGTTCACCATTCTGTGTCTTTTTTTCTTTCTGACTTTTAAATTCAATCCTCTTTCAATTGTAAATTCCTCCCACCACTATTAATTCAAGTATAGGAATATATGTTCAAAGAAGCTACCTACTGTTCAACAGTTACCCATTATCCTTGGCAGCTGCTCACTTCTTACCTTGAAGTGTCTCCATGTTTCCCAGCTCAATCTGTCGCTGGGTCTTTACAACATCAAAGGGCAAAGTCAAAGTAGCAGCCACCTGGAGAACAGGGAGTACATTCTGTTAGCCACTATCTGTACAACATTTACAATGGATGAAAGCAAATTTTCTATATAGAATCCTTCATCTCAGGTTCTTAGCTTGAACACTACTTCTTATTGCTGAAAATAGTGTACTCTATTAATTTTAAAGACACTGTGAAAACTGAGGGCAAAGTATTGCCATTCTGGTAAAAAAGGAGAAAGAGGATATGACAAATATTTACTGCCAAGATTTAAGTTACATACTCCTTTCTAAAACTGATAAAAACTTATGATGCGAAGGATATTAAACTGACTTTGATGGGCTTAGAAACGTCCTTCTTCTAGTGTGCCCAGTTGAACTAGCCTTATGTGCTTTTAACAGAAAGAGGTATTGAGATGTGTTGACTTCCACTCAATGAACAGTATAATTTTAAAGTAAGATCGTTAGTTTCTGTGGTCCATGGACCATTGAGTTTAAGTGCAAAAATTTCAGGCTCTAACACAACCTAATGGTTGTGGAAAGTAATTTTACTAAATAAAACTAGGTCTAGACATAAATAGCTGGGCTGTTTAGCAGTGAAAATGAAGATGCTACTGATAGGATCCACTAAAATTAACTAAAATGGATTTCCATCTGTAAAAGGGCCCTTCATATTATAGGCCTGGCCACTGGCTTGACCAACATGGCCAGTGGCTGGGAACTTGTAGAATACAATTTCCAGGAACTCTCTTTATTTGTTAATATCTGAGCCAGTGGGAATTATAGCAGTGTTGCATCTAAAGCCTACAGCTTCTTCTTCACTGCCTATTATAAATTTCATGCAACTCCAGCATATTCTGGATCACAGGTAGATCTCAAGTTTTCACATTTATACAAAGGTCTATAAAGTTCTGG